GTTGTCAACCAAAGTGCAAAATCAGAGTTGCCAAGTAACACAAAGTTCTTGACTAATGATAATATGTCATTACTCCATTAAATACCTTAATCTAAGACGGCATAAAACCATCAACACAAGAGCTAATTACAGGAAACGAGGAAAATGTATTTTTATACCTAGTACTTGAAGCCTCAAGCTTGCTTGCTTCTTCCCTGGAAGTCAGAACATCAACACCTGCTGCTCGCCACTAGCAGACTCGCTCTTGCCACTAGCAGCTCCACTCGCATGGTAACGCTCAACACAGGAACACGGCCGCTGCCTGCAGTGTCACATCTTTTAGAACAAGGGATAAATTATTCTCACTTAGAACATTAGCATGATCACTATCACTATATATATTGGTCGAGGTCCAGTTAGCCTTGTCATATGCGTCATGCTTCTATGATATATTTGTCATATACAAATTTAAGAAGCTAACCTAAGCATCACAAGATGGACCAACAAATACATAAATATGCATAAATTTGTAGCATTATAATACTAGGTATGGGTACACTTACAGTAGCATATGTATTGAGTATACAAATATTTAGTTTAGGCTAGAATGAGTATTTAAAAAATAAAATATATGATGAATCTCATAAATTGGAGTTCAGTATAAAAACACACTAATGTTCTGGTTCTTACAATGGATCATGGTACCACAAATTTAGAGGTAATTAACTTCTGACAAGCGTATGATCAGGTATTCATGTTCAGGTAGGGTGAAACCTACAAGTTCAGAGTTCATACAAAAGCGAAATAAGTTAGTTGAGTAAAACTCTTTGTATGTGACTATCATTTTTTTTAATCTTACACAAAACTGCATCAAGGTGACTAAAATATTTAGCAGTGGCACACAATCTCTATTTCAACAAATAGATATTTACATGAGTATTCAATTCTAAAGAATCAATTAAAGGTAAAGCAAGAGACTCAATTCTACATATCATACATCCAAGATGCAGACATGACTGAATCTAGGCCTTCTTAGTGGAATACCATCGAATAATTACACTGCATCCAAAAGCAAAACATGAATAGTTTAAAGAAAATTACTTTCTGCAATTGCTATCCTGCTCGGATTAGATGAAATGTCAGATCCAATATCTCTAAAACATATAGCTTTCATTAGTAATACGGTCTGCTAACAGCTCCAGCCATAAATGAGCAAGGAACAATTAGTGTACATAGTGATAGGATTAGCACCCTATTCTTGCACCAATGAGAAAGGCAATTGAATGTAAAATCTAAGCTAGACATGATTCTAGACGAAAATGGCAAATCCGCCACACAAAGCAGAACGTAGAAACTTACTTTTGCAACCCACATCAAGCACATGCAGCACCCCACGATTCAATGCAACAACATCACAGGTCACTCTAGGTCACCCAAAGACTAGTGCGACACTAACAATTCTGTGAAGTCCAAAAGCAACACTGGAACCGCAAAAAGGATACTCATCCAAAAATCTAAGAACTAAGAAACCCCACCAATCACAATCTCTCTCATTTCCCACACAGGGGATGTGGATTCCCATTCCCACAGGTAGCAATTCCCCCTGTCGCGGTCCAAAACAAACAGGACTGGTAACCAAGGAGCGCGCTAGGGTCCACGGATCTCACCAAAAAATACCTCGATTCAACACGAGAACGACCGTCGACGCTGCCGGCGGAAAGGGGCATCCGTGGGATCCGCCTGCTCTGACCCACCCTGAGGAAGAAGACGATGGCACGGTCCCGAATCCGGCAATACGCCTGCACTCACTGTGGAGCCGAGGTGGTGGTGAGGACCATGGCTCTGTTGGGGCGGCACCAAGTAGGTACGGTGCGTGGGGCGCCTGGTCCGCTACTGGATGAATCTAGGTTGGGGAGGCAAACTAGGCTCGGAGATGCGCCATGAACGGACGGGTGTCGACGGCCAGGGGCGCGGAGGAGGAGCTTGCCATGGGCACGACGGAGATGGAGGAGTTGGCGCACATGGAGAGGGAGGAGGAGGCTGTGCTGGCGGGAAGCGCTGGAGGAGGAGGCACTGCAGACGGACCTGAGGGGCGAGCGAAGACTGGGTGGTGAGGTGGCCGCGACGTGCGTGGGAGGCAGCGGCGTTGGGGAGATTTTGTTAGAATCTCCGAGAGTTTTGCATATTTTGTTGCCAAAACATGAATTATTCACATGTAAATAATAAATAATACAGTACAAAATTATATAATTATTTTTTTAGATATATTTACATATACAATAACTAAAACAACTACAACAGTTTAAAATTACAAAATTGAACCTTTAAAAATGGAAAAAAATTTAAATTTTAAAAAATTAAAATCAAAACTACTAAAATAATTTTGAGACGCCAAATGATCTCAAATGAAAATTTGATAAACATCAAAATTGTAGAGGCCACGAAGATCTATAACTTTTATTTTGGTTATCTTGTCTTTTGACCAAATTTCAACCTTTAAAATTTGAAATTTTAAAAAAATGACAAGTTCGAACCAAAATTTGAGACCCAAAATGATTTCAACATAAAATGTGATGAATACCAAAGTTGTTCAACTCATTAATATCTACAACTTTTATTTTAGTCATCTTGTTATTTGACAAAATTTAAACCTTTCAAATTTGAAATTTTAAAAAACGACAAGTTCGAACCAAAATTTGAGACCCAAATTGATTTCAACATAAAAAGTGATGAATACCAAAATTGTTCAACTCATGAATATCTGTAACTTTTATTTTGGTCATTTCTTTATTTGATATATTCTTAGCACACATTGTTCACTAATCTTACACATGTCACATATGGTTTATAAAACCTTATGAGAATGTGTCATATTTGTGAACAATTTCATTACCACTTTGTTATATGAAGAAATGACCAATACAAAAGTTGTAGATCTTGATGAGTTATTCAACTTTGGTATTTATCACCTTTTCAGCTGAAATCATTTGGTGTACCAAAATCTTGTCTGAAGTTGCATTTTTTTGAAATTCAAAATTTAAATTGCTCAAACTTTTCATATGTATATTTTGACAAAACCAACAAAATAAATTGATAGAGAATGATTTTAGAAAAATTTAGAAGAAAAAGCATCAGATTTGAAGTTAGTATGAGGAAAAAAACTAGTTACAAAGTTGACCCATAGATTAAAAAAAGAAATCACATTGTTCACTATGATCATGTAAGGATCATCTAGTACAGTGTGATTTCTTTTTTTAATCTGTAGGTAAACTTTGTAACTAGTTGTTCTCCCTCATACTAACTCCAAATATGATGGTTTTTTTTCTAAAAATTTCTAAAATCATGCTTTCGCATTTAAGTTTGTTCAAACTTGGATATGACAATGTTTTACATATTTTAAAATTTGAAATTTGATAAGTTCAAATCAAATTTTCAAACCCTAAATGATTTTAGATGTAAAAGTAATGAATACAAAAGTTGTTCAACTCATCAAGATCTAAAATTTTTATTTTGGTTATCTTGTATTTTGACTAAATTTGAACATTTCAAATTTGAAATTTTAAAAAATAACAAGTTCAAACCAAAATTTGAGACCCAAAATGATTTCAACATAAAAAGTGATGAATACTAAAGTTGTTCAACTCATTAATATCTATAACTTTTATTTTAGTCATCTTGTCATTTGACAAAATTAGAACCTTTCAAATTTGAAATTTTGAAAAACGACAAGTTCGAACCAAAATTTGAGACCCAAATTGATTTCAACATAAAAAGTGATGAATACCAAATTTGTTCAACTCATGAATATATGCAATTTTTATTTTGATCATTTCTTCATTTGACAAATTCTTAACACACATTGTTCACTAATCTTACACTTGTCTCATATAGTTTATAAAACCTTATAAAAGATGTGTCACATTTGTGAACAATGTCAGTACCACTTTGTCATATGAAGAAATGACCAATACAAAAGTTGTTGATCTTAAAAAGTTATTCAACTTTGATATTTATCACTTTTTCAGCTGAAATTATTTGGGGTACCAAAATCTTGTCTGAAGTTGCATTTTTTTGAAATTCAAAATTTAAATTGCTCAAACTTTTCATATGTATATATTGATAAAACCAACAAAATAAATTGATAGAGAATAATTTTAGAAAATTTTAGGAAAAAAATCATCAGATTTGGAGTTAGTACGAGGAAGAAAAACTAGTTACAAAGTTGACCAACAGATTAAAAAAAGAAATCACACTGTTCACTATGATCATGTAAGGATCATCTAGAACAGTGTGATTTTTCTTTTTAATCTGTGGGTAAACTTTGTAACTAGTTGTTCTCCCTCATACTAACTCCAAATGTGATGGTTTTTTTCCTAAAAAAATTCTAAAATCATGTTTCAGCATTTAAGTTTGATCAAACTTGGATGCGACAATGTTTTACACATTTTAAAATTTGACAAGTTCAAACAAAATTTTCAAACCCAAATGATTCCAGATGTAAAAGTGATGAATACAAAAGTTGTTCAACTCATCAAGATCTACAACTTTTATTTTGGTTATCTTATCATTTGACTAAATTTGAACATTTCAAATTTTGGCTGCTATTTATTCGTGCGCCATCAGTAGGGGTGGCTGGTGATTCAGCCGCCCCTACAGTCGAACAACAAGGCCGGCTAGTGGCAGCCGCCCCTACAAATGGACACTGCAGGGGCGGCTGGTGATTGAGCCGCCCCTACATATCAGCCCCAACTGTAGGGACGACTTAGGTTACCAACCGTCCCTACAGTGCTATCTATAGGGACGGCTGGGTTGATAGGGCCTGAGGACGCTCACTGTAGGGGCGCCCTCAACCTCAGCCGTCCCTACAGTAAAAATGCCCCGTTGCTAATGTTAGAATCTGGCTTAGTGTCACCGGGTCCATGGGCGAGAGGATGAACGACCTCGACTACACGAGGATGAACACCGTCCCTGACGCCAAGCAGTGGGACAAGACGTCCTACTAGCATCACGACGACAGCAGGATGGACCACATCAACCTCGGCCTCATGAACCTGGATCTCAAGATGAACGAGGCCGTCACCGCCATGAAGCTCCCCTTCTGCAACATGCCCTATAACATGAACCCAATGTACCCCAAGGGGAGCAATGCCAATGCCAATGTCGATGTCAATGCGTTCGAGATGAATGTTGGGGTGAACAAGTACTCCAATAGCCCTAACGGGAAAGACACCAATGGGAAAAACAATGGCAGCAGCAACAATAATGGAGGAAACAGCAATGGGAGCGCCAACGGTAATTCTACGGTTGACAAGCGCTTCAAGACATTGCCAACAAGTGAAATGCTACCGAGGAATGAAGTCCTTGGTGGATACATCTTTGTCTGCAACAACGATACCATGCAGGAGGATCTCAAGAGGCAGCTTTTTGGTATGTGTTGTATGTTCTTGTATCTCTTGAGAAATCAAATGATGACTGTTCTTGAAAATAGTTTCGATACCAGTGTATATACTAATTTGATAATGGTATCTTAAGATCTGTTGCAAGCGGTAGAGTCTTACCGCCTGTGACCGGAAGGTCCCGGGTTCGAGTCGCGGTCTCCTCGTATTGCACAGGCGAGGGTAAGACTTGCCACTGACACCCTTCCCCAGACCCCGCACAGAGCGGAAGCTCTCTACACTGGGTACGCCCTTTTTATCTTAAGATCTGTTGCTCTTCTGCAGGATTGCCAGCAAGATATCGTGATTCAGTCCGAGCAATTACTCCTGGCCTGCCTCTTTTCCTCTATAACTAATCAACTATACGACTCACCAGCTTCATGGGGTATTTGAGGTGTGTGATTATCTGATTTCCTGATTCCTGCAAAGCCTCTCTGAAGTTGTTGAACACTTGCCATGTATATGATACTTTGAACTAAAAAATGTGTCCATTATTACTATTCTAGATAGACTATTTTAAGCTTGACTTCATCTTTCGTTCCCTTGTGTCCTTGTATAGTTATATGTAACTTCTTACCGTTGGTTTGTTGATATTTAAAAAGAAGCATCCAGCTACTACAGCAAATGCATCGAAGAGGCATGATTTGATTACATTTTAGGTGGATGACTTGCAGTCTTTTAATGGTCAGGTTTTAGCTTGTATTCAATCCCTTGTATTGTTTTGCGCACTGTTGGTGTACTGGTAAAAATTGTTGACATTATTTTGTAGTTCGGTGTAGGTGTGCTCCGTATACGTCTAGATCTATACTGTTTGTTGCTACCCATTTCTGTTAGATCACTGTTTCATCATTTTAGTTGGTTTCAGTAAACAAAATGTCTTAGTCTTACTTTGATTCCACGCATTTGTATTTTTATATTGAAGTTTTAAATTCCAACCACGGTTCAGTGTAAATCTAAGAAACTTTTATCTTTTGTTTTTTCAAACGAATTTGCTTAGGCTGCCAGTTTCGGTGGGTCTAATATCTATCCCACTGCATGGGAGGATAAGAAGTGTAAAGGTGAATCTAGATTCCCAGCGCAGGTACTGATAACATTTGTCATCATGGTCATTTCTCATTTCCTTTTGATTGTTTTTTTGCTCTGACACCTTCATCTTGTTAGGTGAGGATCCGCATTAGGAAGCTTTGCAAGCCGTTGGAAGAGGATTCCTTCAGGCCAGTTTTGCACCATTATGATGGCCCAAAGTTTCGCCTTGAGCTCTCCATCGCGGAGGTATATAGCATATCCAGTCTGCTGTGCACATGAATATACAATGAAAGCTCCCTTGTATAATGAAACTTTATCAGCGTTGCTATGCACGGGGATACACTTTGTTCTGTACGAAGCACAACATTCTCTTGTTTAAAAGCATAATTGTGACTTTCTCGATGTCTCCTGCGCAATTCCATGCATATGTCATTTGCATCGTTTGTCTGATATTGAGCATAAAATGGATGATGTTTTCAGCTAACCCTCCTTCAAAGAAGCATGTCAATACCCTTGTGCCATTGACATGCTGGTATTATAGAACTTATGGGCATGGAATTTACTTTTAGATTTGGGCCAGACTATTTTATTTTCGTTATGCATCATCTCATAATGTTGTTGTCCAGTTGTCATGTCAATCATTCTCATGAAATTTAAATTTGCAGACCTTGTCGCTGCTAGACCTATGCGAGAAGGAAGGCATCTGAGCTGTTGGGGAGGTGGTTGCCTTGTGAGCTTCTAGTAAATATCAATTATCCTTGTATGTTTTGTGGATGGTGATCGGCAATGTTGTTTACGCCGTGTTTAGTTGGACCTTAAAGTCCAAAAAGTTGCTACAGTATCTGTTACATCGAATGTTTACGGCCCGTGCATGGAGCATTAAATGTAGACGAAAATAAAAACTAATTGCACAGTTTGGTGGAAAATTACGAGACGAACGATTTAAGCCTAATTAGTCCATATTTAAACACTATTTATCAAATAAAAACGAACGTGCTATAATAACCCAAAATCCAAATTCACCCAACTAAACCTGGGCTTATTTAAGCGCAAGCTGCTGCTAGTTTTGTTTTTCCCTACCCTGGATGGAAGTAAGGACCTCGTACTTGGAGGGCCCCCCTCAGACAAGCTGTGAGCCTGTCAGTGTACTGCGTTGTGTCTGTCGTCGTCGAGAACCAAACCAATCTTGGACCAACGGAGCTTGGCCATGTCTAGGTTGGGGTTAAAATCAGTATTTGATATTGTAGCATTTTTGTTTATATTTGATAATTATTGTTTAATCATGGTTTAACTAGGCTCAAAAGATTCGTCTCGTAATTTACAATCAAACTATATAATTAGTTATTTTTTTATCTACATTTAATACTCCATACATGTGTCCAAAGATTTGATATGATAAAGAGAGAGTGAAAAAACTTACAATCTAAACAAGAACTTGGAGTGTGTATGTTTTGCTATCTATCTACATGTCTTAGTAGAGTGGGTATACCTGGGCAGAATGGGTCCCCAAAAGATGGGTGTCTGTCTGTATAGAATATTTTTTTAATTTTAACATTTTTTATAAATTAATTTTAAATCTAACACTGTCTATTTTTTATTTTCAAATCTAACATTTATTACCGTGCATATTACCATGGCGTGACGAAATACCTATGCCACGCCATGCATGATGGCGCGACGAGAAGGCTGACGTAGCGACGACCAGGACGCTGACCGGTGACGTGGCAGGATCTACCGTGCCACCGATCTTTGCGCGGCGCTCATCGCGCCATCCATCACGCACGCGGCAGAGAACAACAAAGAGGGGCCGCTAGGATCAATGCGACCTGATGGGCTAGCACATCTTGTACGAGTAGAACGCTGCATTGGGCCTGTTCATTGGTTGGTGCTGATTTTAACTGTTTGGTACTAATTTTTTTTAAAAAAAATACTATTAATTTACTGATTTGGGCTGGCCGCAACCAACCAGCTAACAGCAAAAACACACAGCGTCGCGTGGCGTCGCGTCCACGGTCCACAGTGGGCATCGGTCTACGGAGCTGTCCCGTCGCGTCGGTCGGTCGGTCGGACAGCCCTGCGTTCCCAGCTTCCCCAGGAGCTCACGTGCTACGGTCTACGGAGCTGTCCCGTCGCACGACTGCCAACTTGCCATGCCATTTCATCTCGGAAAAAGTTTAGTTAACCCTTAACTTTTTATAAATAATCTAATTCACCCCAACTATGAAACCGTCTATTTTACCCCTAAATTTTCTAAAACCATCTATTTTACTCCCGGACGGTTTTTGACAGCTATTTAGATTTTTAACAGTAATGGTGGGTTTGAATTTTTTTTTTCGGTGAATCTTTAAAAAATCACAGTAAATTATAGAAAAATCATAAAATAAAAAATCTAATTTTGTTGGACTCCACATGAGTAGATCTACATAGTGAATATATAATACGGTATGCTTTAGTATAAAATTTTTACTGTAGCCTTAGATTAATTAGAAAATCTAATTTTGTCTGTAATTAATTGGAATAATTCATAGCTGCAGCTTCTATGGTCCAATTGTGGTGAAATTTTTATGGTACGCTAATTATTGTATACTTGAACTATAGTAAAATTTTCGTACTTATTGGACTATGTATAACTTAGTTATAGATAAATTATAATTAATTACAGAAAAAATTGGATTTTCCAATTAATCTAAAGCTAAAAAAAATTGTACTAAAACATACCGTATTATATATTCATTGTGTAGATCTACTCATGTAGAGTCCAATAAAATTAGATTTTTTATTTTTATGATTTTTCTATGATTTACTATGATTTTTAGCAAACCCACCGTTACTGTAGCAAACCCGTTGTTGCTGTAGCGACCGCTGTCAAAAACCGCCCGGAGGGGTAAAATAGACGGTTTTGAAAAGTTCAGAAGGTAAAACAGACGGTTTCATAGTTGTGGGTGAAGTAGACCATGTATGATAGGTGGGAGTTAAATAGACTTTTTCCTTTTGGCTCGCTCCTCGTCGACGTTGTGAACGAATATATATTGTACTAATAAAGCGGTTTTACAGCTCAATGCTCTTCGATTAATAAGCGCGTTAAGTAACACCGTCAGTCTGCCACAGATACTATTGGTTAAAGGGTTTTTATAGTAAAACCTCCGTTTATCAATAAGTCATTCCAGATTTGAATAGATTTATAAAAATGGTATTGATGTTTATATCTTTAAATAGTCGATCATAGAAAAATATATTCCATAACTAATTTGATGATACTTATTATGTGTCATAAATATTTACTCTATATACTTTCAAAAAAGAATGTAACTCTAAATTTGAGACTAGTCAATCTTTCTTAGGTCGGACCTATTTCATAGAAAAAAAGTACTCATTCTTATGTCTTTGTATACATTTACTACGAAAATATATTTCATGATCAATCAATGATGCTTATTTAATTCAAAAAATATTATTACCTTTTTATAAAGGAGAGTTAAAACTGTTTGACTTTTTATAAGGAGTATATAAGAGTTAATTTTTTTAGGGTATTTATTTTTTTATATATATTTGGTTAAAGTTAAAATTACATGACTCACCGAGAATCATAATAGTGCATATTTTTTTCTCGCCATGTATTTAGATTACACTGTGCTTTAGCTTTGTGTGTGTGTAAATGCCATGTATGTGCACACGAGTCGTGGTATGCAGGCTACGGCCCTGTTCTTTACGCCGAGAAGTACCGTTCGCGGATTTGCTGTGAAAGAAAAACATTGTCTATGACCGATAAGTTCAAACAAACAGGACGGTTACCGATTCGACTGCCCACGAGCGCTCCAAAGAGAGGTGAGGCCATGAGTAGAGCGATGAACCGTCCAGCGACAAATTGGTGGTAATATATGCGGATATGCCGAGTTCTGCACGCTTTTTTTTTCTTTCCGAACTGTCAGCACGCTCTCGAGGGGGCTTAATCAGCATTTCAATTGAGCATCATAGCAGAACAGCAGGAGGCTGAGCGGGCAGAAAAGATTTCATATAAGAACGCAGTAAAAGTGTAAAACAGCACCCCAAGTGCAGCATACGTTTACGAACAACGAGAACAGGATTCAAATTTTGAAGTCGAAATGCCATGCATCCAGACACGGGAGACGATACCACAAAACAAAACATGACGAGTACTACTCAATCGACGAGCGATCACTGGATAAGTACAACTTTATTAGGCGGAGTACTGCAACCAATAAGCGAACAGCCCGTAAAGAAAGAACAGAGAGACCAGAGAGTACTGCTTTGCTTTTCCTGGGCAAACCGGGAACGCAGGGCTCGGTTTTCGTCGTTGAATGCTCGCAGGCTCCCACGAGGGCAGGACAGAGTGGCAGACGTCAGAAGCAGGCCAGCAGCTATGCGGCAGGATGCCTTTTTTGTCAAAGGGCACGTTTAATTTTCTTTAGTTCCACGAACAGCTTCACCAATAGAGTTAAAACGGTTTTGATAAATCATTTAACAAAATAGCTTCCCTGTAAAAGCATGTTTTTGGGGCCTGGAGGAGGAGCCAGGAGAAGCCACTATTTTTGACTCATTCCCACCCAAAAGCTCTATGAGAGCATGTTTTTAGAGGCTTCATCGGTAGAGCCGTTTTATTTTACTTCGTTTGGCAGAAAACGGCTCCAAGCGGCTCCTGAAGCCGCTAGAAAAGCCCTACCAAACGGGGCCTTAGTGTCTGTTTAGTTCCCAAAATTTTGCAAATTTTTTCAAGATTTCTCGTCACATCGAATCTTTGGACGCATGTATGAAGCATTAAATATAAATAAAAAATAAAACTAATTACACAGTTTAGACGAAATTTACGAGACGAATCCTTTAAACCTAATTAGACTATGATTGAACACTAATTGCCAAATAACAACAAAAGTGTTACAGTATCATTTCCTAGAAAATTTCGCCAACTAATCGAGGCGTAGCTAGAGGTGATTGCTACCGTACCTGGGGTGTGCACGCGGCACCCTTTAGTTGACGATTTTTTTTAAAAATAATACTGTAGCATTTTCGTTGTTATTTGACAATTAGTGTCTAATCATAGTCTAATTAGGCTTAAAAGATTCGTCTCATGAATTTCGTATAAACTGTGTAGTTAGTTTTATTTTTTATTTATATTTAATGCTTCTTGCATGCGTTCAAAGATTCGATGTGACGAGAAATCTTGAAAAATTTTGCAAAAAAGTTTTCCAAACAGTGCTAAGTAGCCATTACATCGAATCTTATGATACGTGTATAGAACATTAAATATAGACAAAAAAAACTAATTACACAGTTTGGTTGAAAATCATGAGACAAACGTTTTAAGCTTAATTAGTTCATAATTAAACACTAATTACCAATAAAAAAAATATTGCGGTAGCTAAATTCCTAAATTTCGTCAATAAACACAGCCTTTGTTTGGCCGCACGGCACGCAGAGGTATGGGTGCCCGTGGCAGCGATGCCCACTGTGGACAGTGGACGCGACGCCATGCGACGCTGTGTGCTTTTCCTGCTGAACAGTCCCATCGGAAACGACAATTAATGCAGCGTTCTACTCGTACAAGATGTGCTAGCCCATCACGTCCCATTGATCCCACTGTTCTTCTCCGTCGCGCCGTGATGATGGCGCGGCGGCGCTGTGTCAAGATCGGTGACGCGGCAGACTCTGCCACGTCACCGGTCAACGTTCTGATAGTCGCCATGTCAGC